CAACAACCGGAGCTATAACTGGGTTGATGAACCATTCAGTTTCAGTTCACTTTTTACAACGATTAACAGTTTGTATTGTATTGTATTGTGTATAACTTTTACGAGCACTGGAGCTCACATTTCAGTTAAAAAGCATACACGCTAACCGTCACAATGTACATAATCAACGGGGAGAAAAGTTTTCACAGGCATGGAGACATTCATAATCCAAGGTTAAGACGAAGTTCACTCATTGTTCGCTCTTTGTATGTGAGTAGACGAGCAAGATACGGTATGGGTGAATTGCGGTATGCATTAATTCGAGATGAAATTTTGCGGAATTGGGAGCGTGTTGAATGATGGGAATGACAAAGTGACAGTTCTGCATACAATGGGTGGTCCGGATCTGTGAGGATCCTCTCGGCAAATTTCACACAGGAAATTACGTGATACTCTGAAAGATTTACATCTAATTCATTCACAGGAGTGGAAGAGGCGCGACTAATAATGGTTAGACTGCGTCGTAAGACTTTGAAGACCTGTTTGAGTAAACCAGGAAAAATAACCGGGGAACAGTAGAGTAAGATGGACAAAACACACTGATAAACGAAGGTAGAAGTGAGTGTTTGGTATGCAGGAAACTGCCTGAGAGTTCGGATTTGAAATGATAGGCGCCACGGTTTACCAATGCAGTTGTGGATGTGGGTTATCCAATGAAGATTGCTATGGTTACACTAAGATATTTGACAGAGTTCACCCTGGATAAAGGATCGTTATTAATCACTGTGCGGTCTGTCGGATATGGAGAGCGAGCAAAACTATATAAACTCTCAACACATTTATTGGGGTTCAGGGTTAACCCCGACGAGGAGGAGAATGACTGAATTTGATCAAGATTATCGGTGAAAGAACGTATACCAGAGTAAGAAGAAATGGGTTGGCACAACACGATATCATCTGCATATTTCAAAATACGTGCGGGAGAAACACAGGGAACATCACAAATATAAGTGGCAAATAAGNNNACAATTGCTTGGGGCATTCAAACGATTCCGGTTTTTGTAACAACTTAGATCGAGGAATGGAATCAAATGCAGAAGAGTAGTCGAGAGAAACACACCGAACAGACTTAACAGAGTTGTTCAACGATTTAGTGATGAAATGACTGGGGGTAGAGACTGCATCCACGGTGGATCTGTTTGGCTTGTAAGCAAACTGTAACGGATCACTGGGAATGTTTAAAGACTTCTGAAGGCGTTTGAGGATGGCCTTTTCAGGCAACTTAAGAGCTGAAGATGTTAATGCTATGGGACGAAAACGTTTGGAGAGGATAGAGGATTTAGAT